CGAACTAGCACCATGTGGCTTGACTCTACTGCGGTATCGATCGGCTCCAGCCAATCAGATATTGGTAGTGAACTGTCCTCTCTGATTGATTCGTTAACTGTTTGAATGCCTGCTTGACCGCATGTGGATGTCATGTGGCCCAAGAGCCAATTGTTGGCCTGCATGCCTACCTTCTGACGTGTTACCCTCTTCAGTTTGCTCACCATCCTATGAACCGGTTACATGTATGCTTTCCACGATAAACGTACTGTTTAATTCATTGCGTGCCTATCTACCAACCTAAAAGGGGACAGAACACAGTGGATTTTACAANAATTCACCTGGATGGTCACGAGCCCCTCTATTAAAGTGACCAGATCAAAATACAAATCAACAAAGATGCGCAGTCACAAACTGTTAGGAACTCCTTGTCGTACGTAACTTTTGAGTAAAACGTATGAATTGGCGGTGGCTGACCAGTGGTGCAAATTTCACCACATTATCACACCAGAGGAAGTGTTCCAATCCCCCACCATTACCTGATTTTCCCCACTTTTTGTATGTTCTTCTATGCCAGCCCTCTGATCGGCCGCTTCCGCCTTCCCCAAGTTATATCATTGTGTATTTCATATAAGGAAGCACTACTGATGAGCTCTAATAAGAGCGAAACTCGAGTATAGTGCTTCCGAGTGTTCGATATCGGTACGGTGCGGGGAACTGAGGATAGTGTTTGAAGATGAAGTCTGAAGAATTATCAGTGCTGATAAATCAATATCAATTATCCCATACCACTACTCGTAAGTAAGTATGAGTTAAATGCAAGTTCTAGTTAAAACCAGGATAAAATAAGTATTTAATTCCATACTGAATTACCTACCAGGTATATAATTACATTGTACTCAATCCTGTTTCTGTTCCATCTCGAATTAATATGAATTTGCTATTAGTTCTAGTAGAAACTTAGACAAAAGGTCGAAAGACACGAATCGGTCGACCTCGACAAGATAAACCGCGTTCGCACAGTTAACAGTCGACTAAGCTTATCAACTGAAAGTTTTTCCAGATTTAATGTGTATTTGCGTCTGTGTGCACGTTTTGCAATAACATGTTTTTATAATTAGTATAAGAAAGTTTAGAAGGAATCAAGATGAATGAATGAAAGCAAAACGTTGTCACATTTTCTACAAGTCTCGATCTGAGCTTTGGTCGGGCACTCGGGAAACCACAAACGCTTTGTAAGTTGTTTCCGCAAAAGCACAAACTCGAACCGCCATTGTCTACCTCTTTCCAGTAGATGTACAAGTGATTGCTTTGGCACGCGTGGCTTCTGAAACCCGGCAGAAGATCAATATTGTGTTCACTCTTAATGTTAGTTGGTACCAGTACCCAGTTGTGCTGAATTTTCATACATGTACTGGGTTACCAACGGACAAGCGATTCCATTTATTCGTTCTTAACCGGTAAATTGTGCGAAGCAAAACTAACTGTCCCCGGGCGAGAGCTTAAAAGCGACCGAGAATTCTGACAATTTTATCGATGTATGCCACAAATGTCGTTCATTGAAATGTACATAGGAGAAAGACGTGTTTTGAACACGTGAGCATTGAATATGAGAATTATTATTTTCCAAATTTTCCCCCAAAATAAGATCACAAATGGTGGTACGGTAATGAAACTATCAAACCTCGTAATGATATGAACTTCCGGTATGCACCGGTTTTTGTCTTAATTCAATATCGCGTATCGAGTTGCTCCACATTTTCCGCTGGTATTTCGCGTAACTTAGCAGACACAACGTGGCTGTTATACACATTAGAGATTGCAAAATAATTCTTCCAGAGAGAGGCAAGCACAAGTAATCTATAAATGTTTAAGATATGGAACACAAACTACGGTCACATTTTAGATTTCGTATCTCATATATTGGCGGTTTTTGCATGGATATGTTTGATCAGGCAACCGAGTCATAACCCCGGAGGCTAGTGCTGAGGTGAATGAGGGTCGTTGCTGGAAACAAGATACGTTGTCGCATATTGTGTAAATGGAAAACAAAACAAGGTCTGTTCAGTTCGTCGAGAGGATAGCATGCTTGCGTTCTACCTGTGCTGAGTTCCCTGGTTCGATCCTCAGTTGAGTCGACGGACTCGCACTACTGATGAGACCCAACCAAGTCAAAACAACTATAAAGTGCTCTCCTGCTATTCAGTCCACACCTCATTTAAACGACGAATTCATCATACAACACATAATTTGACAGTAAGGGAAAATAATCTTCCTTCATCCCAGTTTTTGGATGATTTTGGCGCCAAGGTTACAAACTAAATTTTCCCGTCAAGGGTTCTGCTTGTTGATACATTCATTCATCGTCTGGGAGGAAAACCAGTTTAATCGGTTGGAGGCGATCGATACTGCCATAGAGTCAGTCCACCTGACGTGAGTGGTTGCTTGTGTGCTGCATGATAAAATCAATCTATCAATCAATCGGTCCAGCCGCAAACAAAGTGCAACGAACTTATGAGGTCACAATATGGTCTTTCTTCACATGGGTGACTCGAGTTACCACTGTGTCGAATCGAGGATACCGGTGCTGACTGGAGTGATCTATTTAAGTTAACTCAACGACCAACAGCTCACTTCTCAGCCCCGGTCAATGCAACGAGCCAGTTAGATATTCGGTCTGAAATAGGATTGATCAGATAGTATAGATGGAGTGTGAAATCACTATTAAGGATGCTTTTTGTTTTGTGCGTCAAAGTATTTCAATTTTAGAATAGCTCGGAACCCCACTGTTCACTCATTTGGTAGATAGGTATTCAAAACGTGAGCTCCATCTGCGATGTCNGATGTCTTACGCATGGTTCTTCAACGATCAACGCATCTAATTTGATTACACTGGACTGTTTTCCCGTTTCAATAAACGACAATAGGCCTTTATGACCTCTTGTACTCTTGAATGGTGTTTTTTTAATGATATTTGCACTTCGTCACAATGCACAATTACAGAAGTTGAATGCAATCACTAAACCAATGCGATCTGGCCCTGGTTTTTTTCCGTGCTGATGCGCAAAGACAGGTGGGAATTGAACTTGGACACTTACCAACACACGTTGTCCATCTTGACCCCGACCTCCGGATTGACCATCTTGACCTGGCGTACCGGATGAACCGGCTTGTCCGTCCTCTCCACGCGGATACTGATCAGTGATATCTTTTTAGTTAATCGGGCGGGGGAAAGGAAGGCATGAATCATATACAAATGTGGTACGAAAAACGAATTTTGTGTGACAGGTTCGATCAGAGAAAATGCGTGTAAAACATTGGCCGGTCTGTGGTCTTAAATCTATGCGAAAAGCATGTGAAATCGGAAACTAAATTGTTAGGATTGAAACAAAAAAAAGCAGGTGAAATGACACAAAGTGCAGAATTCCGGTATTTATTTCTAAACAGACTGATTTAATTTGATGAAGAATCCGCTTCTGACTCTCCTTGACTGTCTATGTTCAACTTTGTAAATGGTCCGAATGGATAAATAAAGTAAATGATCTCACATGGTAGTTTTCTCACGTTTCCAAACCTATTCATTATAGGACCCGGGTGATAGTCCGGTGGTACCGTCAACAATTTATCACCTGGGAAGACTTGTGTTCGAATCCCACCACCAGTAACACCACCAAAACCTCACATTCCCCGTTATATGTTCCATTGCAGCACTTTGATTGGCCGTTTGTGTCTTTGTAGATTCAATGAAAGAAAATAAAAATGAAAAATAATGCAATAAAAGTACATTTTCCCCTGTTTTAGCCTATCATTCTTCAGAATCGAAATGAAGCTCATGTGTCTGCACACCATAGAAACAAAAAATCAATTATCTGTATTACTTTAGTTCTTACGTTGTATTTTTTTTATCTATTGTACTCTTTGTATGTCATCCTAGTCTTCAACGATGAGGGGAAAAGCGATGGGAACAGTCAGAAAAGCAGACTCGGGTTCAAGAACAAGTAAGTAGAAAGTTAACCTACTCGGTGGTCTTTTCCCACCCTCGGGCAAGCATGTACACACGCACTCACGGATACACCCATGCGTAGAAGCAAACCGTAGCGCGCAGGTATCGGTAATCTACTCCCATCACCTTTATTCCGCTTCTCTAAAAATAATCGAATTGGGGTAATCTAATAAACGCCTGCTACCTCCCCCTGTGGTACTCACAGAGGAATGTCGCCAGATATCTGTCAATTACCTCGGGGCAGTTGTTGTGGTGGTTGTGTTAGTATTCAGATCGATTCCATTCATAAATGATTTCGTCGCCCGTCTATCCGGAATGTTTGTTGCCTAATACATTTTTTAATCGACACGCACACGCACGCACACAGGATACTATTAGAACGGGAGAGGAAAGTAGAGAAATTGCCTACCTGCACCGTTCATCCCTCGAATTCCGGCCTCGCCCGCGGTACCATTCAAACCGTCCACTCCCGGTTGTCCGGAGGCTTCAAATACGAGCTGGGAGCAAATAAAGAAGTACAAGAAAGATGAAGAAGGTTAACTAATGAGCCATCTTAGAAGGTGTACTCTAGTTCTTCTGCACACAAATGAACGAGTGACGGAATTTTGTGCGTCCAAAACGCATAGCAACCTGTGAATAAATAGGAATTAAAAATGCTGTTTGCAAATTCAAGGTGCGGATTTTTGACTTGGAAATAAATAATTTTTAATTTTCGTATATCTTGAACATTTCTCAAGTGGAACCCATATTTTGTTCACTCGAAAAAGAATTGAAAAGATAGGTCTATATTTGCCGTTTTACCAATGCACGTTGATATTGAGCATAATGTATATTATATACTGGATAGTATTTTACACTAGGCACACATGATTGGAGCCAGAGCCGAACCATTAGGACTGGAATCTCTCATTCCTTATTTGTTCTTGTTGTTAGTCATATATAATGTTATTTAATGGCATGATTACAAATAACTGAAAACGAGCTTCAACGTCACACACGTCACCGGAATCATAGCCGGATTATCTTGGGAACATACAATGATTGGATTGAATTTCATGGTGCAGTGTGGATCAACATTTCCAATACGACTGCACTTCTCCTATACAGTTTCAGTCAGCCAAATTTCTAGTACCGCTGAAATTTCGTGCATCTTTGTTCTCGAACGCATTTTATCCCAATTTCTCAGTGTTATTTGTGAAAAGCCTTTCTACCGGACCCCAGAAAGTTGGCGATGATATTGCAAGCGTGAAGCGTAACTGATCACTTTCTTATAGTTGAATGAATTCAAACTACTTTGGTAAGTCTATCGGACATGCAATTTTTAGATTTCTCTGTGTCTCGGAAATGACTACTATTTACTTGCGTGTACCTCTGATTGGGTCTCTTTAAACGCCTTATCTAGTCCGGTTGAAATGACCATGCTGTCTAATGTGATCAGCGGGTAGCGGGCAGGTCAAGTTTTAAATCAGCTGTTTTTACCTCGTCCTCTAGGTCTCTCTCTCAGTTGACAGCATATATGATGTTCAGGCGAGAGATAAATACAGGGGAGAAAATTCACTTAGACGCCTGTTATTTTTGTTCGGTCAATCGTTTTCTTTTTACTAAATTAACCCAATTGATTTTAACCCGGGGTTTTTTTATCAGGCGTTATTTTTATTCTATTTGTTTATCAAACCCGTGCAACAGTGACCCCCAACATCACCATCCGTGGTTCTCCACCATGATCATTTTTGGATCAAATCCCCCCGTTCCCGGACCACACTGGAAATGAATTTGGGCTAGGCTTGGCATCCGCGAAACGGAACTGGGTCAGTATGCTAATTATAATACAATCAATGTCTGTACCCGGTCACAAAAAGAAAGAATGCTAGGCGTGAGTTGATAGAATCACTGAATGATCCCCAGCACTGCTTTTGCCCGATACATTGCTCATATTGCAAGTCCATAGTCAAAATGTGGGAAGAAGTAGATCTGTTCAGGAGTGCTAACTATGTGTGAATGAATAAGGTGACCGGAATTATACAGTTAGCAGAAAAACATTTCATTAAAGAGAAACTGCTTTGAAAGACGTTTAGGTGATAATTACACACACACAAAGTTCGCTCTTCCCTTTTGATCAGATCAGAACAAGGAGCATGACTGAATCTATGGCTGGCAGTTCGTGATTGCAGCCAGAGTCCAAGTCCATGTGCAAGAATCAAACCAAGACCTCAGTTGAAGATGCTTCACTAAAGTTCAGTTGAATTTCAGTTTGCATTTAATCATCATTGCAAACCACCACCACCACCACCACCACCACCCATCTCCCAAACATTGTTGTTTTTCTGCATTCTTTATTTGATGGTGAGTATTGATTGAAAAAGTGATATAAAGTATACGGTATCGACCAAACTCGTGCAACATCCTGATTTTCATCACATTTGTTCATCTCGATGCTTCATTTTTCCAACCTCATTCACGGGATTGAATATGATATTGCCCCACATCAAACGTAGCATATCTGACATAATATCAGCCACATACCATTAAAATATACCACTTCGCGAATTTTTACGATGCTTGCTGGTGCATTAGTTGTAGTATAACAAAGTCACAGTAGAAAACGTACCTACAATTTCTTTATTAAAAAAAATAACTCATAGATTTCATGCAGGTATTGCACTTTCATCGCGCCATGTTCCATTTGCTCTTCTTAATTTTTGAGCACTGGAGGCAGTTGCTTTAGCATGGAGTCCACGAATGAGCCTGCCAAACATAATTTGCCAATTACCTCTAACTTAAACACTGAAAACCAATGTCGAGACAGATAAGTTATCTCTGCTTCTGATACAGAGAATAGTTTCTTGGACTATATTTGTAATTCTTTCAGTATTGTGGATAATGCATTAGCAGTTTGTAGCCAAATAATTTATCAATTTATTTAAGTTAGGATATTTTCATTAATTTACTTATTTGCTGTGTACTGAATGAAAAGAGATAAGACATTTAGAATACGTGTGCTCAACTTAAGAAACACTCTCATTAAACAGAAAACGTTTCTTAAAAAGTATGAATTCCTATGCTGCTTTGCATAAAATAGTTTTTCAAATCTCAGCTGTAACGTTCGAACTACTACAAATTCAAACGATGATAGAAAAGAACTAATAAGATAGATGTGGGAGATAAAAGCAGGAATAAATATGATTTACCCATAGCCCTCAATACACACGTATGATATTGGAGACTGAAATATATTCAAAAAATGTGAGTGATGTTACACGAGTTTGATCAACATCTGTATAAATCAATAATTAGTTTTATACATCATATTTCGACATGAGAGTAAATTGGATAACTTAACACACACCAAAAATACAAATAGATACGTCATTTTCCGTGGCTTACTCCTTCTTCGTCTGTACCCGTTTGATTTTGTTCCGCATCGTTGTTTGTCCATTGACCGGTCCTGTCCTGTTGAGAACCCAACGCGGGTAAAAACGTGTCATCGCGATCTCTCCGTGTCCATGTTTCACGAATTGGCGGAATTGTTTCGGCTCCAGAAAGATGCGTGTGTGAGCTGCGTTTGGTCTCGCTTCTTCCCTGGATTGTGCATCGATCCGCATAGAACTGGCGTAGTCGTTCCCCTCTTGAAGTGGAATCGGAACCCTAAATTTTGGTTGCAGAAAGGCAGGATGTAAAGATCGTATTTAAAAAATGTAAAGTTTTATGAATGTCAGACGATGATAATAAATGTGCAAGAAACAACGGCGCCACCACCACCAATAACGATAAGCTCTGTTCATCATTTGTATACTCATTTCAATCTAGGACACCTGGATAAGTAAGGTTATTCTATAGTGAGTGGACGAAATTACCCAGTAGCAAACGAAACCGGTCGTGCTTCTGGGTTAGTTCAGTCATTCATGTACTACTCATTATAAAAACACTGAAAATCGATCTTGTTATCGAGTTGGCGTCGAGGTTAGACTCGTCTAACTCACAACAGTCAATACAGTACCATCGCCAGGATTATTCACGGCCCCTTTCGCCTCGAATCAACTCCACGAGCTGTAAAATGACTATGCGTTGCTTAAAGTTACTTTATTTCCAACCGTTCTTGTTCTCATATTTTCATATCATCTGAATCGCATAGCAGCATCGATAGCACGATCTATCTGGTGATTTTGTTTGCACTGATCGCGACAGCGAAACAGTTCATCCAGTGACCCCCAACTTTCCATGTTCTCCACAATCGACTTTTTCAATTCCGTTTTAAAGAAAGAAAAATACCTGAGCTCACCTACTGAATAAAGCGACTGGCCGTTCTATAGATCGAGGACAGTTTATCCATAAAAAGACTGAATTGATTAAAACAAAAGACAATAGCTGACATTGTATGACCATGGTTAGAGTGAGGCCATGCACAAACGCAAGTGTTATTACTGAAAGTTATTCCGGGGGGAATCAAACCCTTGTTGTTTACATTGAATTCAATCGGTTCAAATGGGTGCAAATTAATCCACTTGATACCGAGAAAAAGAGAATTTAAGCTTCCTTTTGATTAGTTCGGATTTAGTGCTCCAACGAACCGCTTCTAATTGATCTTTTCTGGCTCCAAATGAACCCGCAACAGGCTTGTTCTCAGAGTTGTCGCATTTGACGGTCATCCACTTCGGATATTTTCATGGAGACACAAGTGAAATGCGAATAAAGCCGTTTCTTACGAACGATGAATGAGAAATTTGAGTACATCGAAAGTGATGTACTTTTGTTTTGTAAAAGTAGCAATATTCGTGTATCCGCGACAGCAGAATGAATAATTAAAGTGTATTTTTTCCATTGGATGTGAACCGTTTGTGTTAGTCCAGTCAATGAAATCGGAAAGTAGCACAATCAAATTGCTAGTGTCTGAACTGTTGAACCCCCCCCCCCCCGGGGTAAAATTGGGTGATTTATACTTCCAATGAACCGTTCCCGATGGACGAGAGAGTGGTACTTATTCTTGTTTGTGTTTACTGAGGCGTTCCGAGAAGCGAAGAGGAAGGAAACACATTTCCCTGGATAAAAAGAAGTCAGACTGCATTTTCAACTGGGTAAGAAAACACAAATGGGTTTATCGAAATGAAAAAAAACAGAGGTGGGACCTTCGGGACTATCCCCACAATATACAACCGTCCCGAACAGTAGTCACAAAAAATCTATCAAATTGTAGCAATTCATTTTCCCACATACGAGTTGTGACAAAATCAGAGACGAGCAGCGGAGGCAACACAATACGTCTCAGACAGTCACGAAATCCGATCTGGAATGATTGCCACTTGTCTGTTGGCTTTTTCCAGAAATAAAAAGTCTGACTTATGTCAATAAGTCAGATGTCCGGGCACATTTCAGGCTGCCCTAATTGACGAACAACCGATATGCAACAAGCATGCATTCCGGGTAATGGATTTTTCCTCTGGAATGGGAAAAACACGCAATCCACTTTGGAAAAGAATGCTTATTAGTTTTAAGCAGATTTTATTGTGTCAAAATAGTGCACTAGAATAAATCGCTCTTCGTAGGTATGGTTTTTGACAAAAAATTTAAATTGTTTACAGTATCAAAAAAGAAAACCTCACTAAGTGAAACGTTCGCACTTTTCATTGAATCGAATAAAAGTGAATAAAAAATAAAATAGTAAAATTTTCGTGGGTTTGCAATGGGTTTTCCCATTGATTAGAAATGAATAATTCGAAACCTGCATGTTTTTATTACTTGTTAAAGGTGGGAGGCTTTCGATTGGAGTTATCAGATAGGCAATGATGTCTCCCTCCTCTTTATTGTCTGGTCAAAAGTGAATTGACTGACTATCAGTGAAGACAACGCCCGAAATAAACATGAGTCGGTCATTCGATTTAACCATGGTATAGGCTAGTGGACACAGTGATAGCACACGGATCTTCCATACAATGGGTCTGGATTTCAAGGTCCGGTCGATGGATATGCAATACTGGTGAGCTCAAATAAGAGCGAAACTCAAGTCATATGGTTCCGAGCGAATGCTTGATTAAATGATCTGAGGATCGTGCGTGCAGCTGAAGTGAAGTTCAAAAGATTGTAAGTTGAAAGCATTTAAAATCACTCATCCGACACCAACGGTTACAAGTAAATTTGAGTTAAATGTGAACCTTTTAAAGGGTTAGTAATGAAGGATAGAATTGCAATACCTTCAAGTAAGGAAACGGAAAATTCCTCTCGTATAACAAGTAGTCACGTCATGAAAGAGTCCAATCGAGTCATAGCCCTGAAGGCTAGAGGTGTGATGAGCAAGAACCATTACTTGCAACAAGCTCGCAAAGATGGGATATATGTTCAAAAACAGAACCGGGCAGCTGCTCTGACCGGTGGCCGAATGGGTAGTATGCTTGCATTCTACCTGTGAGATCTCGGGTTCGATTCTCGGTTGGTTCGATGGATTCGCACACTGTCCTAATGGGACCCAATCAAGTGGAAACGACTGTTCAGAGCTTCCTCGTCTTTTAGTTTACGTGTCATTCAAACGACGCATTCATCATGAAATCAAATGAAATCGACCATTCCTCTCAAATCGGAAAGTTGAAAGGTGTACAACTCGAAGCCCCTATTTTGTCTCGCTCATAAGAGAGAACCATATTTATGGAACCCGGAGTTTTCGCTGTCCGACACTGTTTGTGCACGGATCATGCCATGCATCCCCTTGACATGCCTGACCGAAATTACTTGACAAGGGAGACCTATTTGGGCTAGGCAAACAGTCAGCATATTGATGAACAGGACTGGTATGCTTATCCAATTCAGGAAGACCAAAAGTGATGATCCTCTCATTTTTTCTTCCCAATTTCACGAACAGCTCAACACAGTGTGTTAGGAACTGAATGAACTATGCATATTCACATAATTCTAGCAAAAGAAAACTAAGAAAAAAGAGCTTTGATTTATCTCATTTGATTGAGAATAGCTAAGCCGTGCGCGCAGTGATCAGCGCACATGTGCCAGAGAGAGAGACAGCGCATGCGTGCTTTGAACTCATGGACTATATGACTTTGTGGTTAACGTGAAATGACTAAATGCCTAGGGGTAAAGCACATCCTGGTCAACAAAACACGATAAAGATAATGCGTGCGGAGACAACCGGTCTGATTAATGGTTTCACCAATGGGGAACGAAAGATGGAATGTGGCATGGGAACACGCAAACGGAACGTTGGCACCTGAGTTTTACAACTCCGGAAAGCCATCAGAGTGAGTTATTTGGAGAATAAACAGAAACAACTGACTATTCACACGAGATAAGAAAGCGGCTATTCTGCAATCTGCAAGCGACCTTAAATGCAAGCTTAAAGAGGGATCATTGGTCAGTCGGAACGCTCCAAACTGAACTGACTGGTGAGAAGGATCAGAACATTCAATTGATGTATGCCCAAATGAGAGCAAGTGTTTTTTACACACAAAAGCATCGATCACTCCGAACTGGATCACACGATCAACGTGACATAACTGAATATCTCGGCTGTACATAACTCGGAATGGGACACATTTCAATGTTGCTCTCCCAACCACTGCGTTTTATACTCTCATACAAGAAGTATAGCGGCATGATTATGAGTTATTGAAAACAATTGCTAACCCGAAGTTTTGTTCCTATTCACGCAATATGTCTGTATTTCAAACCTCTATTAGATTATTATTTTGGTGTCGTCTGTTCACTGAACATATGATGTTTCGGGGCAAGTAAAAACTTGAAAGTGAACTATAAGTTCAAGATGAAAATCAAATATACGTGAGAGATGGTAGATTTACTTTCATCATATGATAAATTTATTTATGTAAACAGTAAGTGAAGCGTGAGCAGAAAATCTTGGAAGCACTGGAAGTCTGCTTTAACAGTAGGACTAATTCACCGACCCGACTGGGGATCGAAACTAGGACCCCGCAAGTAGCACGCTAACAAACTATCCAATCGGCCACCGGGAAGCTGCTCTGAACGTATTTGATATACCTTCATTTCCCCCATGTAACATGTAATCAGTTTGAAGTGTTTCCAATCAAGCCATTACCCTGGTGGCTGATGGTGAGATACGCGAAGTGCGATGTCTGCAGGAAACTCACAAAGATGGGTTGCGCCATATCGTGTCTGAGGAAATGAAACGCGGTAGCCTGTAAGATCGCGATTTCGATTCCCAGTTAAGTTGATGGATTCGCGCACTGGACGACTGATGAGACTTAATCAGGTCGAAACGGCTGTCTACCAATGCTTCCTAGTTTTTCAGTTCAAGGTTCATTTGCTTTTGACACCAGGAAATTTTCGAACTGAATAAATCAAATACTCCGGTGCACCCAGAATCTGTGGAATTGATCGGCTTGATAGAGTTGTTATTTCATACACGAAAGTGTCCAAGCCCAAACAAGGGGTGCATTGTCCAAACGCACTCAATATGAACGAAACTGTCATTTTCGCACGACATTGGAATCCGGGTTGTCTAAATCAAAAGGGTGGTAGATAAAAGCGGGTGCACACACACGTAGAGCTGATGTAATTCATTTTACACGCTCTGGGGTGTGGTGTAAACCCAAACAAGGCATTCGAAGGTTTAATGAATCCACGGGATTAGTCATCAAAACACTTTATGATCTGGTCGAAACTGGCGCGCGCGCGAGAGAGAGAGAGAGAGTAGGGTGGGGTGGGGGGTTGGGTAGATGGACTGCCCTCGACTCGAATGGTCTTCACAACCTCGATCGCGTGTGTGGGTGTAGGGCTTAGTCATGCTTCGCTCAGTGATTTCACGGAATCTCAGGTCAAGCAATGGTTTTGTTCACTGGAGCGGAAATCTCCGAAATGAGCATTCCGACCGCATCAATCTCCCCGGGGTTACACCATGTTGGCAGCTTTGTCCGTTCTGCGTCCAACGCAAAGTATGAAATAAAGTAGTCGGTTTGTTGTTGTTTTTGTTTTGTCCATTTCCAACTTCATAATTCACTTGGCTTGGAAAAATAAGCGTATTGATAAATAAATACAGACTGAACTGATTTTGGTGGTGCGAATTTGGAACCGAAATATCCGTACAATGAACTGTATCGTCTGCGCGTCTGTTACGCACCACCTCATATGTTTTTTGTACACGCCGTTCTACTTTTTCTTTATTAAAATGTAAAGTTTTACTACAAAACTGACCAGAGGCTACACCTGTCCTCACGTTAATGAACGATCAGTTGGAAATCGTTAATCATTATACTTATCTCGGGAGTTGTTTCACCTAGAGAGGACTGACGGGAGAAATATCAGGGCGTATCCGCAACGTTCCAGTGGCTTTCGCTAACCTATGTCACTTGTGGCGCCAACGCTATCTCAGTCTCTCCTTGATAGGCCGTGTTTACAATGCACTGTCTTACTCTACGGCTGTGAGAGTTGGCCCCTCCACGCAGAAGAAGTTCGAAGATTAAGTGTCTTTGATCACCGTTGCCTTCGTTGCATCGCCAGAGTAAGTTGACAACAGCGAATCACTAACAACTAGGTTAGCCGAAGAATTTTCATCGTGGACAATCCCAGTTGTGCCATTATCTCACTCTAGAGACTTCGATGGTTAGGACATGTGTTGCTGATGCCGGCTCAACAACCACCCCATCGTATTGTGTTTGCGCAAGCAGACACTAACTGGAAGCGGCAACAAGTTGGAAAACGAATAACCTGAGCTCGAATAACGAAGGCGTTAACCTCAAAACTAGCAGTTGTAGGACGCTCTCAAATCCCAGATTGGGTTCTCAAGGACAGCGAACATGTACGGCTTGAGACACTAGCAGACATGTTTGATAACCGGCGTCATGGCGCACCTGTTGTGAGACTCTTATTCGTTGATTTATATTGAAGCCGCCTTCACATCGCTTTCTTCATATACTTTGGCACATCTGCTAATTCTATGTAATTGGTTGTGTGTTAAATTTAAATATATAAATGAACATTTAGTGAAGTCACTGAGAGATGGAAAACAAAACATATTGACTGCATCCCTTTCATGGTAAATTATGTTCTTCCTTAGAAGGTGGTGACCGTGATCAGAGTGTGTAAGTCAATCAGTCAGCACATCTCCTCAAAGGACGTATGTTCGAACTAACTCACTGCAACCCAAATTCCCTGTGAGGTCCCCGGGTCAATGATTTCGCCCACTGTATCGATGAAACCCAACCAAGTCGAAACAGTTGTCCAGTAGTGCTTCCTTCCTTTTCAGCTTATGCTTCATATACACGACGAAATTCATCACCTAATCCAAGCGAATCCGCTATGTATCTCATATTTCCCAATTTTTGTGTCCCCTAGAAACCTGTAATTGACCACTACCTTATTCCCAGGGTTGTGCGATACTACTCACTTATGAGTAGTTTGCAAAAAATGCCATCGATGGTTTATTTCAACGGGCAAATATGAACAGCACCGGTTAGAGCGAATTACTGCTGTTCGGTATGGTGAATACAAGAACAAACATCTAATAGTGGATTGTTCCATCAACTGTCCTGTGTGCGCGTGAGAATTCTACAGACTCGTTTCAAATGAGATATTTCGTTGTATGAATGACAATTTATTCATATCCTGACCGGTTAGTGCCTTGAGAAATTACAACGCTCAGTAGATATTTGTGCCACTGACTGCTCATCAAAACAAAGTAAAAAGACTGTAAAATAGAATGTAGAAAAGATTAATCACAGCAAATTAGCATATTTTTTGTTTTCAACCGTTTTACGCGAGCTAGCACAAGGAAGGGGTTTTCAATGTGTTGCTTGAAAGAAAAACCCATCTTCAGCTGAGCTGAATGTCACAGACTGACGTACTTGTGTAAACTTCAGCTTCATGAAATGTGCTGCTGATTAAAGACAAATAGGTTCACGTCATCGTTCGACTGTTGGCTGTATCTCGATCAGTCAGGTTTAATTAAGAAATAGGGCATTGATTTAGACCAGTTCCATCAAGACCAGCACCAAGAACATACTATATGTATAGCTATACTGGAGTTCAATATCAAGAGGCAACTGTTAGAATCAGAATTCCAGCCAATTCACGTGAAAGTTAACTACATTTACCTTGAACTGTCTGTTTCGCTGAAAACATATCTTGTTCATCTCGTGTTCGTCCGCTTCATCGACATCTCTGACAGAAATAGAACAACTCGTTGTCTAAGCATCTGTGTATAAACAATGAACGCACAGCAATCGAATATTTCAACCAAATCCGAAAATAATGCGCCGGAAAGTCGTGGCACCGCAGATGTAGTTTGAATAAATTCAGTGAAACATCGTCAAATAAACAGTTGCTGAAACAGGGGTTCCGCTTTCCCTAGAATTTTCTTCCTTTCTAAAGTTTGTTCACCTACTCGGGTCTGTCAAAATGCACTTTCAGGAATGGTTGCTATGCACACGGGAACAGTTAAAAATGACAATAATCTGCCCTGATGCGACTACTGATGACAGTGTCTGAAACGATAACAGGAACAGGTTGAACTGGAAACCCAAACGGATGAAATTTTGCTAACAAGTGTACAATCTCAGACCGGAATCCATGCCAATTGGGAACGTAGGTACTAACCGCGATCACTAGAATGGAGTATATGTGAGCTCCGGTTTTCAATGTCCAGCTCGGACTAAGATGCACGAGTGCAAGCTAGCAAGTTGCCCTTAGTTGCAACCCTGTGGTCACCGGTAATATTCGGTCGACATTTGCAAACTTTTCCGACTCAACTGGTGACTCTTGTTCAACCATTCTTATGAAAACGTTTCTAGTCTTTGTACAATTATCTGTATTTAGCATACGTCGGAATCCAGACTGTGTGCTAAACCAATCATAGTACAATAATCTATATGGAAAAAAGGAAAGTTCCGTGATTGGTTTGTGAGCGGAATACTGCCAGATTGCACAGGTCAAGGTAGATGAATTTTCCTGGGTTAAATCACTACAGGAGACTTTGACTAGACAAGGCCTGACCCACAAGGCAGCGGTGCGGTGTGTAAAAACTGCAATTCAACACATCTGGATGCCCCATCGAGCCGATGATCATTACCGTTACCACGAGCCATGGTTTTTAGCCAACTCCCTTAAGTGTGTTTGAAATGATTCACCGACCCGATTATAGCCCCGGATGTTGGCTTTTCGTCCTCTCACTTTGGTGATGGGAAAACATATCCGTCACAAGGTGGTAGTAAGTAAGGTCGTATGAGAGCATTTTGTGAGATACAAAGGAAGTGTCACCAGCCTCAACCCAAAACACCCACTACTGACCATAATGAATCTCTGCCTTTGTAGAAGAATCCCAGCTGAATAAGGAAGGATACGGTAGACGCTCCAATCTCAGAAGAAAACTTTTAAAATGACCGAAAAGTTTGTAGAAATGAGTGACAGGTTTTCTAAAGTATTTCAATGTTTCCTGATGAGCCAAGTTTCAAGGTTTCTTCAGTGGTGCTTGAAAAGTGCTAAATGATTTACCATGAAATGTCGCTCAAGATTTTCCAGAAAGTCAACTAACTTGTATAAATGATTTTCCTTTATCTACTTGTTTAATCGTTTATAGTTTTATTGCCCCGATGTTGGATTTTGACTTGCTCAGAATGTTTGGAGAAGTTAACCATACTAGTATTTATCCTCTTCAATCATTGGGTTTGACAGATCTGTGCCACTCACAAGAGGTAACAAAGTAATCCAGAACCAATCTACCCCTCTTTATTCAGCATCAATTTCCGCTAGTGACCACTGTTTACTTCTAGTTCGAAAAGGAGTTTATTTAAACTGTGCCTATAAATCGTTCCTCCGCTTATCTTCATGAGATAATACGAACGAACACAAACCGCAGAAAAGGCCGCTAAGCCATCGGGTCGCCAGTGTAATCACCCATCTGCTGCGTCAAACAAATCGCAGATCAAAGCCTGCCAATCATTGACATCGGATCGGAAAAAGGGTGGGCCTACTTAAACAACTATCATTGTCCAGAATAATACCTAAAAACTCAAGTCTCATCCGCAACGCCTTTCTATTATCACGTGGAGACCGTTTTTTGTCACTGTTTTAAGATAAAGAAGCATATTTATAAGCCACGGATGAGGTAAGAAAGCATCTTATAGACAACCAATTCACAGCTCTAACACTGAAC